GCAAGAAGAATCATATTGATGGAGTCGTTTATAAATAAGTAAACACACCAGCTCGACCGTATTTTTCGTCAGGAACACAGATCATTCTTACATTATTGCAGTTGGACGGGAAACACGAAAAGCATGCATCGCGTGGCATTTCATAGCTTAATACGCTGTTTAAGTCGTGTCAATAGAAGATATGAAGGATTGGGTGCAGTATGATGCATCTCAGCGCACCTGCAAGTCGAGCAATGATGGAAAGGAGGAGTTATTTTTTTGTTTTGTTTTTTTTTTAAATTATGCAAATAACAAACTAGCAATATAGAGGAAAAGATAGATAGATAGATAGATAGATAGATAGATAGATAGATAGATAGATAGATAGATAGATACGAACAGAATGAGATAGATACGAACAGAATGAGATAGATAGATACGAACAGAATGAGATAGATAGATAGATAGATAGATAGATAGATAGATAGATAGATAGATAGATAGATATGAGCACACCAAGATAGATAAAGAGAGAGATTTGAACAGACCAAGATAGATAGATTTGAAGACCAAGATACACGCACATACACACACAATTGCACACACATACACACACACACACACATATATATATATATGTGTGTGTGTGTGTGTGTGTGTGTGTGTAGAGAGAGAGATAGAGTGAGTGAGAGAGAGAGAGTGAGACTCCTAGAGTGAGAGAGAGAGTAGCGATCATCAGACTAGACATGGCAACTGTATTCAATACACAGATGAATGATAGATTTATATGTATGTGTTTATGGAAACGTTCCCTAATATCCTTGTCTTATATACTCGTCTGTGATATTATCTAATATTCTCGTTTTATAACCCAGTATAACTTCCTTAGTCTGTCTTTAAAATCTCAGTGGACTGAGAGGGGGGTGCTCGAAAACCAAACTTGCGACTTGTCACCATTACCGAGTGAAACCTGAATTTTCACTAATTACGATGAACGGGTGATTTATTGGGAAGGCTCCGTACCTTGAACCCCTATTGGGTTTTAAAATCAAATGGAACTCAAAGATGCTGGAAAAATGATCGGTTCCCTGTACTGCTTCAGTAAGTACTGTGGCACCATTTACGAGGCAGAGAAAGAAATAGAAAGAAAAGAAGGCAGAAAGAAATGCGAGACGGATCATAGGTGATAAAACAGCCACACACATGGCCTAAGAGACAATGAAAATATTGATAAGTAACAAGTGAAAAAGTGTGTCATTACAATGACAGGGAATTTCTGAGTAAAAAAAAAAAGAAAAAGAAAAGAATAAAGGAACCAGATGTGTTTTGATAACGGCTATATTATCTAGGTACGTAAACGAATGGCTAGACCACTGGCCCAGGAAAAATTCAAGTGAAAATGCTATTTCGATAAGTAACGAGGAACAGGCCACTAAAAAGGACTTTGGACAGATATGAAAAATTAAATCCCACACAAGCAGAGCGCTGACCGAATTCCTTTCAACAAAACAACTTTGCCCTGCGATAATAAAATTATGTTATCAGACACATGTACCGAAGGAAAATAAATGGGAACCAGAAATGTTTTTCTTTCTTCCTTGGAGACGACAGACTGACTGACATTTTGGGGGATAATTCTTTTCTGAGGCCATGTCAGGAAAAACAACCATCTTGATGAATTAGCGATAAACTACCTGACAAACGCCACGTGTTGAACAAAGAGTTGTCATATTATCCATTCGTGGCTAGAGAAGTGATAACGGCGATTTGAAAGGAAGAAAAAGGAAAGAGAAGAGATAATTATTTTTTTTTTAGTTAAGCAAAGGTATTTTTTTTCGAAACAATGCCGCGGATTGTTCACGCCCGACTAAGACATCATTGGTCAAGTGGTGATCACGTGACGCACGAAGGAGGAGGAAAGATACCCGACCAAGACCTCATTGGCCGAGAGTGATCAGGTGACGCACGAAGAAGGCTGTCGACGCCCCCCACTCCAGAGTATAAGTATGAGAAGCTGCTACGAAGAAGTGGGGAGGGCAGTTCACGCCCCTCAGAAGTATGGTGAGAAAGTGGGAGTGAGAAAAAGTTCCCAAAAATGGAAAAGAGTGGAAAATCCCTAACTAGAAATAAAAGAGGTGGATATGTATTTAGAATTATCGAGGAACCCCCCCGGACGCCAACAGACCCACCCCGGTTTTGGTCGGCGTCAATAAAAGCCAGGCCCCAACAGGCAGAAATCAGTTCGGGCCCTGGTGGCAGAGATGAGTATCCAGAGAGTTCGGGCCCTGGCGGCAGAGATGAGTGTCCAGAGAGTTCGAGCTCCAGTTTCCAGGGTTGAAGCCGCCTCGAGATAGCTGACCAAGATTCACGCAAAAATTTCGGACTCCTCTTCAACCAAGAACAATTATTTTGAAGAGCGACTTAGGACCAGACCACCGAAATAGGTTTTTTCGACTTTCGTCCAGAGACGCACCGAAACGCCAATTTCTTAGAGAGCAAACAACTTGAAGCGTTAAAACTTGCCTAACAATCCACAGAAAGGGTCGGGAGATAGATGCAGTCCTATGTATCGAACAACTAGACATAAAGTTTGTTATCTTTTTCTTTGATACTTTGAACTTTTTGAGTTTTCATTTTATTTTATTTTATGCATATTTGTGTGTTATCACCCCCGTTGAACTCAGTTTGCATTACGGCCCCAACCACTGTTTGATCTCGTCTGCCTAAGATCAATTCACAACGTGGGTGGGCAGATTGGAGATCAATGCAGTTACCTTGGTAACCAGGCGTTGGAAGCGAGTTGGGAACGACGAGGCTGATATCAAATCTAACCAGATTCCCACCCGAATCACCAAAAGGTTAGAACGTCACATTTGGGTGCCGCGACCGATACCAAGCCAGTTGGTCGTCACAGGATGAGACAACACGACTGACGCGACAGGCGGACGTCACGTTTGGAGCAGCGACACCCGAACGGAGCAGCGAGGAGCGAACAGCTGGCGCCGCGGCGAAGACGTCTGGTTGGTGCTGTTTAGGGACGTCACAACTGGTGTCGTGACCGGGATAGGACCCTGGAACGGCCACGTCACAACTGGCGCCGTGGTAGATCAGGATAGAACGTTACAGTTGGCGCTGCGACCGGGGGACGACGTCACAGTACCATTACAGGCGCCAGATCAGGCTAAAAATAGAGGACTGCTATCATATATGGACAGGGCTAAGTAACTTACTTCAGCGAAAATGTATTGAAAGCGTACTAATTTCTGTAACTTCCACGATAAAATTACGTCCAGGTTATTGCAATATACCTTCTTTCTTGACAATGTGAGATATTCAAAAACAATACTGACCAAATACATTTACACAAGCCTGATCAGACCAAAAATGGAGTATAGCTGTTATATATTGTCTGGAGCTGCACAATCTTCGCTTTCCAGTCTCGATAGAGCCCCAAAAAGCGTATCCGCATTCTTGCGTGAGACAAATTACGCTGTGGGACAATTTTGAACATAGTTTCTGTTGAGTTCGTTTTTTTTTTCACTTGATTTAGACTAAAATTGTTATGCTGATTTCAAAACTCCAGTCCGTTTTCTTCTATCACGTCAAGTTTTTTTTCTACTACAGCAATAAATGGATGTTCACTTACATGCCTTGAGCACCTACTTGGTCTTAAACTCGACCTAGACCTCAAGTGGAACTCATGCATACGAACCATTGCTAAAGATGCTGGGAAAAATGATCGCTTCCCTTTACCGCTCCAATAATTGTTGTCCTCTAATGAAACAAATCAGGCCTAAAATGGAGTACTGGTGCCATATATGGGCAAGGACTTCACAATCTTCACTGTCAAGTCTCCATAGAGTCCAAAAACGTCTCCGAGTCCCTGTGGGTGATTATTTCCACACTTCAACTCCTTTCCCACAGAAGAAACATCTCAAGGCTCACGTTGCACTATGCTATTTCCATGAAAAGTATTCAGACGAACAAAATTCCTTAGTTCCACCAGTTATAACTTTCCCGGCTAAGATCCACCGTGCCACGCACATTGAGGCCGAGCCACCCTCATTCCCTTCGTATTCCAAAGAGCTTCTTCCCGCGTACTGTACCCTGTCGACTGGGGCTTCAGAATACTCCGACTGTAGTTCTACAGAGGGGTAAGACATCCCTCTCCAATGTGACGTTCTGGGTATGATGATTACATCCGGCAGCCTGACAGTGGGGAAATATGGCACATGTTAGGGTCCCAGCTATGGGCAAATAATTAACCACCAATCTGGGGTCAGAACACTATGAAAATATAAAATCGGTTTTAATACCAGTAATACATTTTTGGGAAAAATTATTACCAGCAATAATATTATTACCAGAAGTACATTTTGTTAAAAGAAAAATATTACCAGCAATAATATTATTACCAGCAGTACATTCTTGTTAAAAGAAAAATATTACCAGCAATAATATTATTAACAGCAGTACATTTTGTTAAAAGAAAAATATTATCAGCAAAAAAAATGTTGTCGGCATTAACTAACCCATTGAGGTTGATATGCCGAAAACAAACCCAACTAAATCCCGCGAAACATTGCTTTGTGAAACCGAATCTCAATCACTAAAATCTGAACCTTTTTCAACTCAGTAATTTTGGGGTCCTGTACAGGGTGAACATCCTTGAAAAAATATATATATAAAAGAGAAAACAGACTCTAGAAAAAATATCAACGTCTTTGGACGACATAATCGCTGGCTACTCGTTTCTGACTGGATAATCTTTATTGCGGACTGCCGCTCAGGCACATTCTTTGGAGAAAATGGCTACCGTCACCCTTGAAAGTTAGATCTCATAATTGTTTCTTTGTGACAAACCTAAGATATCTAAGATACAACATAGTAAGTAACTACAGTGTCCATCGAAATATTTTTTGCAGGATTTTTAGATTCGAATTCGGGCATTTAAAGGGCTTCCAAGGCCAGTCAAGTGTCGATTCAGAATTATGTCTATTCAGGACAAGCAAATAACAACACTAGGCCAGAATAGATAGATAATTAGATAGATAGATAGATAGATAGATAGATAGATAGATAATAGATAGGGAACAAATGAACAGAGATAGTGACCGACGAACAGAGGTAGATAGATAGATACGAACAGAATGAGCTATCTAACTGGCTAGCTAGATAGATAGATAGATAGTGAATACATTGAGAGACCGAAGAAGATAGATGAATGAATAGATAGATGATGGTGATTCATTGAGAGACCGACGAAGATAGATAGATAGATAGATAGATAGATAGATAGATAGATAGATAGATAGTGAATTCATTGAGAGACCGACGAAGATAGATAGATAGATAGATAGATAGATAGATAGATAGATAGTGAATTCATTGAGAGACCGACGAAGATAGATAGATAGATAGATAGATAGATAGATAGATAGATAGATAGATAGATAGTGAATACATTGAGAGACCGAAGAAGATAGATAGATAGATAGATAGATAGATAGATAGATAGATAGATAGATAGATAGCATCTTTTTGTTTGGAGCTATGCTGGATCTTTATCACTGGCTGATTGTTTAATGACTCTCCTCGTTATTGATTAAGTTCTTTGCACGTAAAGAAACGACGTCTGAATAATGAATGACTGCATAATTTTGAATGACTGCATTTAGTCGGCATATCTCGTGTGCACATTTTTAACAAGTCTTTATCTGACGCTGACAGTTGAATTGTTATTAGATTAAAACGTAGAACCGTGGATGTTCATAGAAGGAAAACAAGATATCACTTCAATTTTAATTGCAGCAACGAGAACGCGTTAAAAATCACAAAAACGGCCTCTTTTCCACAGACAAAAACGTAGTTTGTTGTAGCCCTATATTTCAACGGAAAGTATTCAGCCGAACCCCATACCTTAGTTCCAGCGGTTCTAAGCTTACCCTGTTAAGAGCCGCCATGCCTCGCACATTGTAAGGAAGCACCCTTATTCCCTTCGAATCAAAATGGTGATATATATGTTCCACTCGAGTGGCTTCTTCTCTTGAACCACTGCTTTGTGGAACCGATTCCCAAGAGGATACTTCTATGATCACTACAATTTTAATCTTCCCCGCATCTCTCTATAATCTGTTTCTCCGTAACCCTCTACCTCGGGGGACTCTTGGGCCTTATACGAGGTGAAATAACACTAGAATTACAATATATGAATAGAAATTATTCTCTACTTCAAAGTTCTTTCCACTATTCATATAAACGAGGAATTAGGGATAAAACCAAAAAATATATGCGACTAGAAAGCATGAAATTAAGCATCACCGATCACGGGTCTATATTAAGTCACATTTGGGATTGAGGTCGTGTATTCTGGTCTGCCCTTGGCGGAGGACAGACTGCTCCTCAGGCAGTTCCGATGCCGCTCGTTCGTGCTGCCAGCCGCGCGGCGTGATGTTGCGATAGGCAAAATAGGTAGGAGGAAGAGGCAAAAGGGAGAATTGATCTATTTTAACAGACATTTTCAACTGCCTACCTATTTAAACTAAGCAAGGTATGAATCCTCTTCTTATCTCCTTGGGAAAGTTATGGATCCTCTTCTTATCTCCCCAGCTATGGGTAAATAGCAGGACAGACCGGGTTCTAGAGCCTGGGATGGCAACTGGTCTACCGCAGAAAGAAATGGCAAATTACTGATGGAAAAAAATCTGCTTCGTTAGTTATATATCGAAAGATACATGATCGCCTAAGCGTGTATCACGCATGGCACATAACTGAAGCGAAGCCCTGAATAAAATACTGAAATATATTTAAAGCAAATTTTGAGTCCTGTTGAAGAAGTAACTTGTTTTTCTTTATCCCTTTTTTATTCGGATCTTTGATCATTTGTTTACAATTTAGAAAACGGGTCAAGCCAAGAAGCTTCAATGCGTTCATCTGTCGTATTAATATAAAATTATTACTGCATACAAGGCGCTTTTATATTTTGCTATTCAGTTCTAAGCTGAAACCCAAGTCACTCACTAAATCTAAAGGGTTTCACAAAAGTGCTCGGTCTGTTCAATACTGAAAAAAAGAAAATTCTGATGCTTGTTCTGGTGGTCAAATAGGAAATTTTCTCTGTGTACGTGTTTGCATGTTCGCACATAACGGCTAATCGGAAAGTCCTAGCGACCCCGTCTTGCAAATGAATAGTCACGAATTTCAAGCAAAATAGACAGAAATAATGAGTTTGATATATTGGCAAGTAGACTCACAAGACGTCCACTTTTAACATACTTCATGTGGAGGTCAGGTCATTAGAGAACATCAAAATTGAATTTTTAGTTAAATAGAACAATTTCTAACAAAATGGAATCAGATAGTGTGTTTGCTGAGAAATACAAAAAATTGTCCTGTCTTCACGGATGGCGGAGCGGATAAGGTCAGGTATGACTCCGAGGTCACAGAAGAACGTTGGAGGCAGAATGACTTTGTGGAATTTACCATCTATATTGCTGCCAAACAATTACATTCTTGGAATTAAATTGGCACGTACGAGTTGAGAAGAAAAAGATGAAAGTATACGTGTTACCAAACTTCAATCCTCTTGGCAGACACCAGACACCAATTCTGGATAAAATAACTTTTTCTCAGACAAAAGAAGACGCAAAAAATGGTTTGTTTTTATTTTGCTAGTAAGATGTTTTGTTCTGAAACTAATTTTAAGGCAAAAAAATCCTAAAAGTTGGATTTTTCAGTTATTTAAAATATAAATAAAATGACCCACATCTACAGTTCTAACCTAAGGAAGGTTACTGAACAGAATAATCACACAAAGGTTGGTAACTGAACGATAATACTTAGGACAAGAAAAACGCATATAAGATTCGCCAGCGGCGTGTAGAAGAAGTAGTGAACTGCTAGAATTGAGTCAAATGAGTTACACAATGAATCACCAACTGCAGGATATCTAACAACCGCCCCATGCGGTCAGATGTGGTACAATGCCGAATTTAATGTGGGTTATCCGAGCCCGTAGGTTCGGCCAAAAATTCCCTTTAGACCCCGTATGAAACGGGTCGGGTAGCTTTTTCCCTTCGACATAGTCTCGTATGGGGATCCTCTCTACCCGGAGGCAAAGAGTATCACCAGCACAGCTGGAGACGAATCTCCGACTGCAGGATATTTACCCACCGTCCCAAGCGGTCAGATGTGGTACAAGGCCTAATTTAATGTGGGAATTCCAAGCCCGTAGGTTCGACCAAAAATTCCCCCCAGACTGGGTATAAAACGGAGTACGGTAGCTGTTTCCCGTGACGAGACACTGTCCTTGAACATAGCCTCGTCCGGTGATCCTCTCTGTCCGGAGGCAGAGTGTTTCACCAGCACAGTTGGAGAAAAATCTCCGACTGCAGGATAACTACCAACCGCCCCACGCGGTCAGACGTGGCACAAAGCCGAATTCAATATGGGGAATCCGAGCCCGTAGACTCGGCCAAAACTTCCCCTTAGAATCTGTATTAAACGGGGTCGGGTAGCTGTTTCCCGAGACGAGACACTGTCTTTCGACATAGCCTCCGGGCAGAGAGGATCCTCTCTCCCCGGAGGTAGACAATTTGACCACCACATCTGGAGACGAATCTCCAACTGAAGACCAACATATAGTATTTACTGTAATGGTTATATCCCGATTCACATAAATACAGTAGTAAATACTACTGTATTTATGTGAATCGGGACATACACATTATCGTCTGTAGATATGCTACATCTACAAAACCTCAAATATTCACCTGACATAAGGCCCAAACACCACTCAAGGTAAGGAGTTAGTGTTAAAATACTTCTGATGAAATAAGTGTGATATAAATAGAGCAGGTGAAGGTAGGAATGCTGCTTTCTCGATCACTACGATCTTCTTCAAGTCGTGGAGAGCCATAAATATGGAGACGATAATGGTTTCCCAAAGTGGATATCTTTACTACGTAGAATTTAATCCGAAAGCTGGAAAAGGGCGTGCTGCATGCTAAGAAGATAACACGATGAAAGACAAACGCCACATTCCCATATTATATGTAAGTTTTATTCGGGGTATCACCTGTTCGGCAGGGTCGATAGGCAGGTGATACCTGGGACAATTTCTGCTATGTCAGCTCTTCCCCCGTTACAAACTCTCCGCCTATCTACTCATCCAAAAGCGGTGAAGAACATTACTAGTAGACGGCACAGGAAACACACGACAGACAAGTCCGTCTCCCACGAAGGACGGACCAGAACCCTTCACAAATCCCAAGCATAACTGTTAATATAGACCATTTTGTGATGTCAACGAATACTCGGTCATACCTCGGAAGAATTAGTCAAGGGGGTTGAAATCGGGTTAGGAGGGCGGCCACAAGTACGGGCAACCAGTGGTGAGGAACATTATTGAGCAGCCACGCCTGGGTCGTCTTGGCCTTGTGTGCAGGATCGGGGTCCTGCTGGAAGACGCAAGGGCGTCCGGCGGCGATCGCGTCCATCCAGGGCTTCACCACGCTCCTCAACACCTGCTGGTAGATCACAGCGGTGAATCCCAGGCCCTTTTGAAAGAAGAACGGAGGCATGACGTCCCCCTCGCTGGAGATGACGCCCAGGATCATGACGGAGGAGGGAAACTTCGTACGATTCACGTGGGAACCTCCTCGAGGTCTTTGCAGATCCACCTGTCGTCCTACCTGTTGCTCGTCTGGTCCTGTATGAAATTCTTTTCATCAGAGATGAACCTCAGCATCCCGGCAGGCCCTGCTTGAGCTCGTTCAGCAAAGCCAGCGCCTTGACCTTCCTCGACTCCTTGGAGACATTCGTGATGATCATGCGGTGAGACTTGCAGTAGGAGGAGTAATCAATGTCCTTCTTGATCGTTCGGTATTGTTTATTTTTGTATCTTTTTCATTGGTTAAGTAGACCTCACCTATATTTGCCTTGTCTGGTAGCGTTTGTGTTTATAATTCTTGTGTCTTTGTGTAATAATTCTAGTTGGTCTATGCTGGATTTGGTTGATGATGTGTGTGCGTTCTGTTGTACATTTTAATTCTGTCTGGTAGTGTTCGAATATTGATTGGGGGATGATATGTATGGTCAACCAAATGCCACATACACCAACTAGTATTATGACACACAAAAATACAAGAATTATAAACATAGACGACGATCAGCTTAAAATATAAGAAAACGTGGCAAACATAAGTCCAGTTTAGGCTCTAGTGAAAATCTAGACATTAGACCCGGTAAGACAAGAGTTAAAAGGTTAGACATACATCTGTTTTACACACGAGTCATAAAGTAGAATTTGGTCGGGTTTATTTCAGAATCTGTAGGTATATATCCGGACGTGAGGCCCTTACGTGAGGATCTTACCAATTCTGCATGGTAATCACTTGGCATCTTCCTATCTCCGCTGACTGGACATGTGCTAAGATAGATAGATAGATAGATAGATAGATAGATAGATAGATAGATAATGAACCGATTGGGACAGATAGATAGATAGATAGATAGATAGATAGATAGATAGATAGAT